ATATATGATCAATATACTAAGTGACTGAATAAAAATCTGCATTCAGTGTGTTATGTGGTGTTCGTATTACGACATGGTGGCAAGGATCTTGAAAGCTTTGCACTTTTGAATTTTGACGAGGCAAGGGAGTTTACTAGTTCAGGTACGGTTTACATGTCAAGTTCGCATCTACCACCTGTTCATGAAGGTTTTATTTCTATGCGTCTCAATTCCCTCATAAAATGCAGGCCACTGCTGGGCTTGCTGTGGCTGAATCTGCATATGAATTTGAACATCGAGATCTTCACTGGTGAGGTTATCATGATGTCAATGACTACTTCTGCAATTTTTTTTTTTTTGTTTAATAAGTAATCTATTAATTTGCAATTGCACAGGGGAAACATTCTTTTAAGTCGAAGCGACTCAAAGGCATTGCAGTTCACTCTTGATGGCAGGCATATGCTTGTTAAAACATATGGACTGATAATATCTATTATTGACTTCACTCTGTCGCGAATAAACACAGGTCGACGCTTAAGGCATTGTGCTTTTAATTGTTCAGTGGATCATGACGGTGTCTTACATTCGCTGACTGTGCCCTATGATGCTCACAGGCGATGATGTACACTTCTTGGATCTTTCATCAGATCCCGATCTATTTAAAGGTCCTAAAGGGGACAAACAGGTCAGGATTTTTTGTTGAAGTCATAAGTATCTTCAGGATTCCTTATGACTGTTCAAATGTTTGGTTTTAGACCAATTAATCCAAATCGACTATGTGGCTTTTGCTAAAAGAACTTTCGGGGTTTTATGGTTAAGTTAGTTTTGGTTTAAATCTTTTTTTGTTTTGGTTCTTATGTAAGATTGTTTCTTATAGAATCGGAAAATTGATGGAGACATTGCATATAGGATACATGTTGAGTGTTTAATTAGAAAAAGATTAAAGGAGTTATGCGTTTATAAGGTACCTAATAAACTTAAAGGAAAGTTTTATCAAATTGCTACAAGACCGACAATGTTATATGGTAGTGAATGTTGGGTTTTAGTGGGGTATCAAGAGCATAAAGTTGAAGTAGCAAAGATGAGAATGTTGAGATGAATGTGCGAACATACATGTAAAGACAAATCTAAAATGAGCGCATACAGGAAAAAGTGGATGTTGCACCTATTAAAGGAAAATGGTAAAAAATTGTTTGAAGTGATTTGGACATATACAAAGAAAGCTACGTGAGGCACTTGTGAGGAGTGGAACAAATAATTTTGAGCCCTGTTAGGAAGGATAGAGAAAAAGCTAAAGAGAACATTTTTGAAAATTATTGATCAAGACCTCTTAATTAATAATATTTCTAAAAGTTTAATAAATGATAGAGTTGGCGTCGTACAATTCATGTAGTTGACCTCACCTAGTGGGATAAGGTTTGTGTTGTTGTTGTTGTATAAGATTGTTGCTTAATATGCATTGTGCTGTGTAATTTGATTTTTCATTGATTTGTATGTTCAAAATTCACCGTGGTAGAAAAGCACGTCCATTCTTTATTGGATTTTATTTATACGTTTAAGCTCTTTCTGTCGCTGTTGCTTTTCTACTGTTTAAAGTTTAAACACCTCCATTCTTTAGCCCCTTTAGTGGGGTGAGATTTTCACATATTACTTGGTTTATTTTTAATTGCTTTTGGAAATATATTCATCACCAATTTCCTTGGTTCGATTTTCACTTATCTGAACTGATTATGTTTGATTTTGGATTGATTTGGGTTAGTTTGGTTTGAGTCAATTTGAACACTCCTACTTCTATATAACTGTATTAAACGATTGAAACTATCAAATGCAGTCAGAAACATACAGGAAGATGAAGGAGGTAACAGAAGATTGGTGGGAAGGAAGGTAATGTTCTTGTGCATTTTCGTTTATCTTTAAAGCATGGACTTCTGGAAATGAAGAACTAGTTGATAAATGAGAACTTTATTAATAGATTGATTTTGTGGTTAAGTTTCATTTATTTCTTCCGCTATTCAGATTGTCTGCAGGCTAATAAGAGTTGTATTTGTATATATTCACTCTATGACATTAATCTTGAGTCTGAGATTTTTGTTTCCGTTTTATTTGAATTTCCTAGACATTAAAACCTTGTTGCCTTTTCTAATTCAGTTTTCCTAGAACAAACGTGCTGTGGTTGATCTACTTGGTCGATATACTGCTGACGAAGAAATCATTTGTAAGTCGTCTTCACTTTTTTGCAACTATTTGCCATCCTTGCACTCATGCATGCGACACGGCAAGACCTTTGCATCCTGTCAGGATCTCGTTAGAATTACTTTTTCCTTTTGGGTGGCATGCCTGATCGCGTGAGCATATTTTTACCATCAGACATACTAGTCTAATGATTTGGATTTTGTTTTTCCTGGGTTGAAAAAAGAAAAAAGAGATATAAAATTGGTCAAAATAATAAAAATGTCAGGACGGCAGAATTTGATGAAGTTAATGTTATCTCAGGAACGTACTTCAAAGAATGAGAGAGATCTGCGTTCCTTGAAGAAACGCCTGGACAAGTATAATTCAGCCAAGGAAGCAATGTCCGATTCTTTCTTCGATGACTTGTTGGTTGTGGATGGTACTTAAGCTACGCACGACAGAGGTAGAAAAGACGTGATCAGCAAGAAGTATGTAAATTTGGCGTTTCACCCTTGGTTTTTGGAGTTGGTAAAAGTTGTATATAAAAAGTTGAATATCAAGTATGGCTCTTGTCTACCGAACTGTCGTCATTTATGACTGATGACATGAAAAGAGAGTGACGTTAAAGGCCTTATCTAATTAGATATTTTAGATTTTGTATCAGATGACCTCGAAGAAAAAAGAAAGGAGGGAAGGAAGATGAGGCTGCTAAGGAAAAGAGGAGATATAAAGGAGGGAGATTGTAGATCAAGGATTAATATTGATAAGCTGACTGTGCTTTATATGTTGTAAACCGAATCTCGCATGATATGTTTGCACTGTGATCGTGTCATTGTGTGGCATTGTGCACTTACACCTCTTGCTGATCTCGCTCCACTTGCCTTTTCCCTTTGATCCCCTTTTCCCGCCATCTGCACCAAATACTTTATTAGTTTATTTCATTGCCCATGTGAAAGCTTACTTATTGGTACTGTTGACTGCCAGTTTCTCTAAAGCGGTGTCTCAACCCAGTTGTTACTTGGGAAAAAAGAAAAATAAATAAATAAAACACTTCACCGAGCATATCGAATCGAATTTTATGGGATGTATCTTATGGCAAAAGCTCTTGTTCTTGTCGATAAGCTCCCTGCTCTCCCATTCTCTGTTGTGTTAATGATAAGGATGAGAGTATGGACTTTTTTTTTTTTTTTTTAACATGCAATGCAATGCATCGCATCTACCTTATCACCATTTTCATTATTTCCGTATGCGCTGATAATGCTATTCTTTGGGCAGGCGACCTGGTTAGAGCGTGCTTTTGATTATGAACATGAAATCAGCGAAGCAGAATACATTATTCCTCTCCCACATGGTTTGTCTGTCCCTACCATTGATTCTTTTCTTTATCTCACTCCTCACCTACAACGTGCCCTCCTACCCCAATTTCTCCCTCTCACCCACCATGCAACCTATTTTTTCATCCTACTTGAAATTATTGCACTCTCACTGATGAAATTTACATTGCACTGCATTAACCAGGGTTAAATTGTTTTGTCCTTGTCAGCATCGTCGCTTGTTTTTCCATTTCATCCATGTCTGTCTTCCACTTTACTTGGTTATTATTTACTAATGATATTTGCTCCCCTAAGATTCTGATTCTGATGTTATCCTTAACAGTTAACACTATCCCCCTAACTTTATATCCCTACGTCCTAATCCCAGTTTTGTGATGACAGTCTACATTTCGATCTCATCTCATTCCATATAAAGCAAAAACTGTTTTCCGGCCCCTCTATTCCCCATGTACACAACTAAATATCCTGGTTTCGCACTGAATGTCAACACAAGTGGCCCTAACTATTTTAGCAACCATCCAGTGTCATCTTTCTTTAAAAAATATTATTCTGGCATGGGTTTGTATAGGCAGCTAAATAACCCAGAGGGCAATAATGTTAAAACAAATTAAAATCATGTAATGCGGTGAGCATTGACATGAGATCCGAAGACCCGGCAATTTTTTTTAATGGAAAAAAAAAACAAAGAAAGAACACGAGATTATGTCCCTGCTCACGACAGTGAAAGAAACAGGGCATGTGTTCAAACTTCAAAGGTACCATTTTAAGTATTTCCTAAGTCTCATTTTACAATACCCTTTTAAAAAAATTGTAAATACTAATGAAATATTTAATAGTTTAGAATCTTATTTTTTTTCAAAAAAAAATATAAACTTATGAAATACATATTATTTAATAAGAGAAAGATTTAAGAAGTTAATAATGAAGAGTAATTTTAGAATAAATTCCATTAATGAATCATTATTTTTGAAAAATATTTTATATTATAAAACATGAAATCACTTAAAATTAAAACAAACATCTTATAAGTATTTTGCCACGTGGAAACCGAGGCAACGTTTACTTTTGCAGTCACGGTCGTTGGAGAAATAAAGAAGCAAATAAAATAAACAAGTTACAATATTCTTTCATGTTTGGTATTGCTCTCTAAAGACGACCGTTTTCCATACCCATCCATCCTTCATGACAAAGTAACATCCTTTCTTTTTCATTCCAATTTGGCTGTCCTTCTTTCCACGCCTTTTCTCCCCTTTTCACTCCCCACCTTTGTCTCCCTCCTCCTGCGCTTCTTACTTGTACTTGATTGATCCGTGTCTTTAAAACTCTCAAGCTGTATCAATCACATTAATTACAAACGAGTCTTTCTACATTCCGCTCTCCCTCTCTTGCAATGGCCAACCATTGTACTTTATGCTTCTTCTTTCTTTATCTCTTCCTCTTCTGCTGCTCGGGTGAGTAACTGATTCTGATATCATTCTGCTTTTTTAGTTTTTCCGAGTTAACCGTTTCTTCTTGTCTTCTTTAGTTTCTGAGTTCTACGGGAAACCTGTTCACCTACTTAACAATGTCTACTTGTTGAATCTTGTTATTTTCGGACGAACCACTTGTATCGATTTTGCTTTTTGTTGCTTTATCAAGATGTTCTAACTTCCCATGAATCTTTTATCACTAAGCTGAGATTGCTTAAATTCAAGTGAAAAAAAAATTAAGGATCTTCAGATTCTGATATTCTTTTAGATCTTCACAGGAACTCTTGTGGGATTTTCATATCGTGAAAGAGGGGATGCTGGGACCATATCGCTCCTCAGACAAAAAGTGGCACCATTTCAGATTCGAATTTTTGTCACGGATCCTAGAACTTTGAGCGCACTCACCAATTCCCACGAGTCGCTTGATTTCTACCTCAATGAAAACCTCGTAAAAACTTTGGTTCGCTCAAATCCACCTGCAGTTTCGTGGCTGAAAACCCATGTTGTAGATTTTCTCCCAAAAGTTGAAATCAAAAGCGTCATAGCTAGCTGTGGGAATTTAGGCCACAATGAGGTACCATTACTAGTTTCTGTTCTGAAATCTATTCATTCAGTTCTCAGTAAGCTTCATCTAGGCAGGGAAGTGAAGGTCTCGGTTGCATTTCCTGTGCCATTCTTAGAGAAGTGGAAAGATTCACACGAGAATGATCTTCATAGGATTCTGTCATTTATAAAGGAAACAAATTCCTTTGTCATGATAGAAGACAGCATTGATGGGGAATTAAGCGTAACGGAACGTTTTGTGCAGTCTGCTATAAAACGAGCTGCTCATGCTGCTTCTATCCTTCCTCACATAGATGTTCCCTTGGTTCTCACGATCAAAATCCCAGCAATTCCCAGTTCATTGGAACTAGCTCAATTTAGCCAAACGGTATCCAAACATCTTGAAGCAACAAGCACTAAGGTCAATGGTAAAGCAATTGCATTATATGCAGAAGTACGTGCAATAGAAGCTTTTGAGCATGAAGAACCCAAAAGGGAAGTGGAAGAGATTTTTCCTTTGTCCCGCAGAGAAATCCTAAGCAAAATCCACATCAGAAGAACTCTAGATGACACAACCAACCCGCCAAACGTGGTTTACCCCACAAATCCAACATCAGCAGCACCAGTGATTACACCCCCAGATACACCAACCATAATCACAGTTCCCTCCTCCATTCCTGCTCCCCCCACCAATCCGGCTGCAATGCCTGTGCAAGTTCCTTCCACCACCTCTGTGCCATTGCCTCCCACAAATCCAACCAATCCCGGCACAACCCCGATAACAGTTCCGGGGGCACAACCAGCAACATATTATCCACCCCCATCAGGAGCTGCTCCGGTGAACTCCATTCCACCTCCTGCAAACAGCAATGCTCCGGCCACAGCAGGGCAGAGTTGGTGTGTAGCGAAGACTGGAGCTGCAGAGGCTGCTCTTCAATCAGCACTTGACTATGCTTGTGGAATGGGTGGTGCAGATTGTTCACAAATCCAGCAGGGTGGGAGTTGTTACAATCCAAATTCTCTTGAAAACCATGCTTCCTATGCCTTCAACAACTACTACCAAAAAAATCCAACACCAACAAGCTGTGACTTTGGAGGGACTGCCACCCTAGTTAACGTAAATCCAAGTAAGATCTTGATGCCTTAAGTGCTTATTAACCAGCCTTTTTTATCACACGTGCTTAATATTCTTGAACATTAGTTTTAAATGCCCTTTCCTAATTTTAAACAGGCTCGGGTTCTTGCATTCTCCCTTCATCCTCTTTCTCTCTTTCATCGTCAACCCCAACGCCATCATCGCCAACAACAACTACATCATCATCTCCGGGGACAGACACATCAGGGTAAATTAGCTGTCTAGATTTTGTGGAAGAATTCTTATTTTTTTTAATAGTATTAAAAGCTGAAATATGATTATAATCATGGATTCGAAACGGTGAGGATGAATTCTTGGCTACTTAATCGTTAACCATTTCATCCCATGAAAAGCTTAAGCTGTCAAAGCAATGCTAACAACAATACTAATTCCTTTCCTGTACGTTAACAACATTTGCAGCTATGGTACCCCACCTTCAGTGTCAAATTCCAGCGGCAGCTCAGCGTCTGGCGCAGGTACCTCACCATTTTACGGGTACGAAAGTCCTCCAGGTGTAAATACCACGTCCTCATCCCATTCAGCCGGTCTGCAGCCTTTTCTAAGTTTCATTGTACTGGTGATATCATTAATCACTGGAAAACTCAGTACGTGCCCATAGAGATACAACTTTTCCTGGAGGATCATAGAAGGAGAAGCTCAATGCTCTAACTTTATAACGGATCGAGTTGAAACATTACAAGCTGTGTACAGGATTATAGGCACAGAAAGACAATCGAGTAGAATGGAAGGGAAAATACATTTAAGGATCTGCTGGGCTTAGCTGAGGTGAAGTGAAGGGATAGTTGTAGAAAGTAAAGGAATTTCTGCTGTTGAAATAACTGCTAGTTACGGCTTTTTAGGCAGTGGTAGAAAAAGTTGTGGTTATTATGTACATATATTTTGAGAGCTTCAGTAGTTTATCTATTGTGGAGTTTAGTGTGCGTTGGTCACAGATTGCTATGGGGAATTGATAGCATATGGGAAAAATACCCATGCTAGTTAGAAACCTACCAACTCAAGGACGATGAAGGATAGAATAGTTCCTATTTTCGTTTTATTCATCATAGGTTGACGAGTTCATTGTGAATTACGTCAAGCCATCAAGTTTCGAGGGAGCAGTTGAAGCGACATTGTTAGAGAAATTATTAGATGTTGCTGAAGTGTCATGTCATTTATGTTCTCCTCAATAAATAGTTGAATAAAGGGACAAAAATATTGCGAAGTCATCGCATCCAGTGATTTAATGTGTAAAAAAAATAAAAATATTCATAATGTTAGTTAAATTAGTATAAAAGTGATAAATCCGTTAAATTTTTTAAATGTTAATTATTTAACTAGCATCTAAATAGACGTTAATCATACTCTTTGCTTATGTGGATTGAAAAAAAAGTAAAAATATTCATAAAGTCATTAGTTAGGAATATCCGTCTAAAGTGAGAAAAATGATAAGAATACTCATTATGTTATTTTAATAGATGCAATAGCGATCAATTTATTAAAATTTATGCCATCTAGTTTCTTTCCATTGGAGATACCCTTAATAAGATTTCAAACATTTCTTAAGCAAAAGCTTTTCAGAGAACTTTTTTATGATTAAGCACGATCTTTTAGAACTCTTTCAACTACGCATTGAATTGG